ACTTGTGTTTAGTGTAATACTTTTGCGGAATGAAATATATAATTGATATTATGATTTTCGTAACCCCCATTAGTTAAATGACAATGTACATGCATTTTTATAACGATTGAACAATTTTAAACTATAGAAATACGAATTTTAAAAGAATGTCTCTCTGAGGAGACGTTGGGTCTGAAAAGGTTTATTTATACAGTACCATTGGTCTCGAAAAAAAAATTCTGTGTGAAAGAGGTCGGATGTATCAGTTTATATATGGGTGTTAAATTAAGAGAGCCAAACATTTTAATAACGTTTATTGAATTTTTAATGTTTTAACTTTCACAACAAGAAAAGATATACTTTAATTTCAATTTTTTTTTTTTATTGTATACTTTATCATATTTTTATAAATCACCGTACGTTTTTAATAAAATAAAATAATACCTATAAAAGTATCAATAAAATTATTTTTAATATCAAAAATCCATTATTATTGTAATGATAATTTCTGTTTAAAATCATACACATAACGTCTAAAATAAAAAAAAAAAAAGTGCATGACAAAATTATGTATTAATATAAAATAATATATATGCGCCTCATTAATTATGAGGGTTCGAATTTCGGTTTAAAATTTAAGTTTTTTGTATTTTTCTCAGTAATTCGAAAACATTTCGATAAATTCAAAAAATGTTCGCCACCAACTAGAACCCATTTTCTTTAACATTATATTTGAAGATGATCAGAGTTTCCCTACGAATCGAAATCATATGATCGAAATTTGTGAATACAGACAAGAAAAAAAAAACCAAAAATTACCTTCCTCAATTCAATCAGCGGCGCAATTAAATTAGCTCCTAAATACTGGTAGTCGATATTTTACCCTTAAAAAGTACCTTTGAATTAGCTTCCAAGCATTTACTATTGAATTGGCTCCCTACCTTTTTTTTGGAAAAATATATTGATTACCAAAATGTTATTAATAATTTAAAGTTAGTTGTTATTTCTTAAATTAGGTTGACGTCAGTCACACATAAAATAACCGAGTAAATTCTTAAGCTTAGCACATGGTTTACGGTATCACATTTGTATATTTTACTTCGTTACATTGAGTTATAAATCTATTTTTAAACACAAAATTATTTAATAAATATACTACAATAGTCAATAACACAATAATACACTAAATATAAACAATAATTAAAAATTAAAATACAGACAATATTATAGCTGAACACATTGTTATAAAACACATATTATGAATATTGTATAAATAAAAATTAATACAAAAAAGATAAAACCCATAAAAAATTATAGAGCGTCATTATAACATATAATAAAAATATTATATCAAACCAGCCTATAATTGGTTGGTGTCGAAAAAGTAAACGCGTATAATATTATGAGAACCCCTATGTTAAATAATAATATTTAATAGTTATGGGAGTCAATTTAAGGGTCAAATTAATATTTACCCGAAATTGGAAGCCAATTCAATGGTCGTCTCACTCAGAATCTCAAAAAATGCTGACACAAAAAATACTGATTTTTTTTCAGTAAATAGAACAATGAAAATTCAGGAATATAGTTTAATGGATCTGAATTAGGTTATCTACCTTTTTGCTTCCTCTTTATATGTTTCCAATTTTATTACACCATTAACTTATGCAAAAAAAAAATAATTTTCAATAATAAAAAATTAAAATTGAATTGAATGTTATTATGACTTCATTTTAGTAACATTTCTATCCATTTATACAATTTGTTAAATAATCATTGGTACACATAAAAAAAAAAACACAATTAATTAATGAACTGCTAGAGATTATTCATAAATAATAGTTGATATTATATAATTATTTATGAACTTGTATTGAATACTGTGATAATTAAAATTAAAAATACAAATCTTATAAGGTAACACCGAGGATGACAATCACTATGCTCAAATAAATCGTCTGTTTGGTAACGTGTCAAGTTTCAAGTTGTTGAAAGCTCTCTGATTTACCGAAGTTGATTTTAAGTCAAGCAGCATAGTGTTATATTTTGAGCCGGTAAAATTAATTAATTTAAATGCATATATTATACAGAGTATTTGAATTTTAATAACCATTCGAAGACTATTTATAATTTGCTTATTTATATTATGTACGGAAAAAAAATTATCTCAAACATGTTTTAAATATATAAAATAAACAATGAATTCAAAGTAATAACATAATAATAATCTCGGTAAACACGTAGATTTTATATAATAGTACTACTTTGTACAATGCACGATAGTATTTATGGTGATAAAATGTTTTCATGGAATGTAAGTAGGTATAAAACCATTTATTATACAATCTAAATCTATAGAACTGTTAGCCAACAGATTGGGAGGCTAATTAGGCTTCATTAATAGATATTGAATATTATTTAGTAAAACTGTGCCAACGAGGATAGTTGTTGGTGTCACGTCCGATGGTGGAAACAATTATAATTAAATTTATTATTTTACGTAAAATAGAATAAAACGATTTATGAGTGTGTAAATATTATTTTCATATTTAAAATGCTATAGCGATATTTTTTTTTCTTTGGGCTTGCATTGAAATATGTTTATATAATTATTCTAATTTAAATGTAACTCAAAATCCTCTGTAAGGTTTTACAAAAAAAACCGTAAGTATTCATAGAACATTTAATTTTACCAAAAAATAAAAAATAAATGAATAAAAAAAAAATTCAAGTTTTCATCAGATTTTTATTACACTCCTGAATATTTTAAAATATATTTTATTTGATTGATTACTGAAAAACATGATGAGTAATATTGTATTGGGAAGTTTACTAAATGTTTCTTCTTCTTTTTTATTGGCCTTCAACAATTTTAAAAGTCTTTTTCACCATCAATTTTGGTATTTTTTTAAAAACATTATAAAAGGTTCGCAGAGTATTTGTTCAGAAATGTACTTGATGACTAAATTATCAAATATTTATTTCGTGGATATATCTATATTATGCATAAACCAAACAGATACTTGTTATATGTTTAATAATTACACATGAACTGATGATTGCTTTGAACCAATTATAAAATATAATTAATTATACTAACTCTTGTTTATGATGAGAAGTACTATGGTAAATTTTAATAAAATATTGATAAAATACTTAAACAGGTACAAATTTTTAAAAAATATACTGTATTTCGTTGAAAAAAATAAAATTATTGCTGTATCTCACTACCGTCATCAATTTCATTGAATGCAAAGTCAATGCTATCGCCCTCCAATATATAGCTAAGACGCATTTGTATAAATAAATAAAAAAAAAAACAAAGAAGGAATGATTTTGTTTGATATTTTGGCAATAATTAATACTTGTGCAAAAAAAAAAGACAATTATTTTTAAGAATATAACCGAATTCATTTATTTGGAATTGCACCGTTGAAAACCATAAGCCCCACAATACATTTTATCTAATTACACAGCATATAGGTAGTATATAAACATTTTAAAGTGTTGTTTAATAGGTAACTGCTAACGACTTTTCAAGGTTTCAAATGCATTCATAAGTTATATTCTTATGTTGTTATTGTGATATGTATTGGTCGTTATAATTTATAAAACCTTTATAATTTAAATAATTTGAAAAATCTATTGAATTGTAGAAAATAAAAATTATTTAAGCTACACATAATTAAAAAATATATATATAAAACAACGAGTAATTACTACATACAACCGTATCAATAATATAATTATTACCATGTCCAAACTTTGTAACATGATATTATTATACGTTTCTCATTATCTGTATAGTTTTGCCAATTTTTAATAAATGAGTAAATATCACATAATCAAACTTAAAGATAAGTGCATTCTATCAATGATTAGTTTTCGTTGTTTCTCTCAATATTTGGTTTGCATAATGATATGAATGTGGTATTTACATTTTAAAATAGATTGTTCAACACATTTTGTTTGTCCTTGTATTGTACAAACATCAGACTATTAATATATCAGTATTGGTAAATTTGGTGTTCTATCATCTACAGTGTTAGAAATTGCAAATATTTGTCGATAATGTTAAACATAAATGCACTATTAAGGTAAATGTACAGGGAAACGACGGGTCGTTCTGTTTAAGTCCTAAGTATACGCCGGGTAAATGTAATATCATTTTTAGCAGTACAATTTAGCAAGCCGAATTTATTATATTGCTAATCGAATTAAAATTGAATCACTGCATCAAAAAGCTACTTTTAAATTATGAAAACATCCACAAACGTATTATATATTATAATAGTTGTTCGAAAAAAAAAAATGATATTTTATATTAAAAATATATAAAAACATTACACATCAACAATTTTGATAAGCAATATATATTTATAATTGTAATCATAGTTAATGTACTCAGATTTAATGATATTCACATTTATAAATTTAATTCGTAAAATCGTGTAACGTGGCGTACATAGTTATTGATATAATCCGTGCACACGAGTGTGGTTATTAGAAATCATAACACTTTATTAAAAATCATCATGAATCCTATCTCATATAGGAAACGAAAAAGCTGATAAAATAACGTATATAAATGTATAATACATACTAACCGTGTAAAACGTTGACTTCTACAACTATGCATGCCACATACTAACTAATAAACGTCATAAAAACAGTATCAAAATGGGCATATTCCAGCAACTTAACTATGAGAGAATAAATAATAATTAATAGAGCCAGAATAGGTCGCATCCATCTTGAAGAACCCAGTACACACCTAGCGACATATGTAAACCCCTTTACAATCGAACACATAATTGTCAACTTTTTTAAATTTGCAACGTCTCATCTTCTCAATAATCCGTTATCAATCAAAGAAGCCCTTAATCATTATAACACCGCCAAGGTTTTGATTATTTTTAAACTTATTGATTTAGATAAAAAACTATAATAGTACTTATATATAAAATATATTTTTGTATCTCTTTGTTCTATAACATAATAATTTAATATATTTTCTATAGGCATATCGCTGTAATTGGAGCCTTATAATCATGGTAAAAACAAACAAATAATAAAAAAAAAATTTAATGGCGTTTAACGAAGTATTCATAAATATTATATACCTGGAGGAGTAATTTGAATCGAATCCTATATTTTTATCGTTTGGTCTTCCTTTGCTGTACGTTTATACTTTGTACTTACTCATATAATTACGTTATCATTCTTGAAGTACTCGAAGTACGTGTCTTAATTAATTTTTACGATTAATTAGGCATTATAGTCTTCGTGTCAATAAATGTAATTGTATATATATTGTTAATAGGTTTTATTTTATAGGTATCGAGTAATGTCCATCTCGAAGCAAACCGATTATTGAATTGAAAAAAAAAAACAATGAAACATCTAAGTCAGTCGACGAAAGACAAAGTAAGCATGACCGAGGAAGTGGACAAGGAACACGAACAATGGCAAAAACTGAACCTTAACTCCAGGATCAAGTATATCGTGAAGAACATCACGGTAGAACCGCTTCTCGCGTTTTTCATCGTGTCTAGTGTGCTGGGCAACTTGACCACGCAGAACCTGAACCTGCAGAAGTCGTGCCGGGTGAATTTGAATATGTCAGACGCGGTTTGCACGGCGCTGGAAAAGCGCAACAGAGCGAACTACACCACTGAACAGGAGGCGAAGGTCCAAGAGCTGGTCACCAACATGACAATGTGGCAGTCGGTGATACAGCACACCATACCGTGCATATTCGTGATTTTCATCGGGTCCTGGAGCGACAGGACGCGCAGGAGAAAGCCCATTTTGCTACTGCCCGTTTTTGGCGAGCTGGTGCGCGTGCTCGGTCTGATCGTCTGCGTATTCTATTTCTACGAGCTGCCGATGGAGGTCGCCGGTCTGGTCGAGTCCTTGCCCTCGTCGCTGACAGGTGGTTGGATGATTATGTTCATGGCCGTATTCACGTACATCTCGGACATGACCACGGTTAGCGTTTATCGCATTTCGGTGTTCGACCGTGCTATACGAAGTGCATATGGAAATATAATTATTAATTTAACGTGCGCCATTTTGTTGGTTTAGGTGAAAATGAGAACACTCAGAATAGGAGTGTTAAACCTGTCCTTGACCATAGGCATATCTTTTGGCGTAGCCTTGTCCGGTATTCTGTTCCAAAAACTCGGTTTTTACGGCATATACTCGATATGTTCAACGATGTATTTTATGGGTATACTTTATGGAATTTTCATCCTCCGAGATCCGAGTAATAAGGAAGTAAGCACGTCTGTCGATTGCCAAAACAGTAAAATTACGGCGCATCAATCCATATGTACGAATATTCGAGAATTTTTCGATTTGAAACACATAAAAAATGCGTTCGGTGTGACTTTCAAAAAAGGCCACGATAACAGACGGCTCCGGATCATAATGATGATGTTAGTACTCATGATAATAATGGGTCCAATGACTGGTTAGTAAAATCTTCGGCAAATACGTTAATGTTTAGTAGTAATCAAAATTCGGTGAAAATTATAATTTCGCCATCTTAAAATTTAGAAAAAATAGTCAAATCACTATTCAATTGTTTTAATTGTTCAATTTTTTATATTTAAGGTGAAATGTCAGTTATGTATTTATCGGCCCGAATACGATTCAATTGGGACGAAGTTGATTTTAGTATATTTTCCACATTCACCATGGCCACTGGGTTCATAGGTAAGTTATTTAAACGTTATTATACTGTTCTATTAACCCTTAAAGATATAATCAATAAAAAAACATTTAATTTTTAATGCAATTTAGGAACATCGGTTTCTTTGTGGATTTTCAGTCACAAGTTACAAATGGATGATGCATTGATTGCTGCTATGTCATGTTTGAGTAAATTCGTCGGCAGTTTTGTTTTTGCATTCGCACCCAATCCTTACATATTTTATTTGGGTAAATTAAAGCATAGTTAATGGTAAAATTCTTTTTCGTATACGATAATATAAACATGACACTATTTGAACAGGCCCGATCGTGGAAATCATTCATGGAGCTGGTTCAATTGCCACTAGATCCATATACACTAAACTCGTAAATCCGGACGAACTTGGTAATTTTCAAATTTTCTTGCGTGTTTTAATTATTTCAACTCCATTTTTTTTACAATTACGTTTTCGCAGGCCAAGTGAGCGCTGTAGTGGGAGTGTTCGAAGCATTTGTACCGTTAATATATGTACCAATGTACAGTGCATTCTATAAAGCAACAATGAAAACTTTCCCAGGCGCTTATTTCCTCCTCGGTGGCGGATTGACCGTACCGGCGATTTTCATATTTTTGTAAGTACAACCTATACCCTTTTCAAATAATAAAGTTCCCTTCGATTTATCATGATATACATATAGCAGAGTGAATTATTGTTCTTTACATAACAACATAGTGAATCTATTATGAAATATAATATAATTATGGTAATAAGTAAATTTCTTTAGTACACTTCATGTATATAATATTCAGTGTTGGGAAAGATAACCAATATTTTTATCTAGATTAAAGATAAAGATAATGACTAAAGGTTTATATAAGATAAAAGATAATTTTTCAGTTATCTAGATTAAATAAAAAGAAAAAATAAAAGATAATTATTTAAAATAACATTTAAGGTTTGACTCTTGGCTATATTTTTAAAATAACTTTTTTATTTAATGCCTTAAGTTTTAATGGAATATTCTTATTATTCTTAAAAGTAAATAGGTTAATAAATGATTAACAGATGTAGATTAATTTAAATTATTATTTATTATACCTACCTATATTTTAATATCTGTACAAGAAGTGATTACTAAGTGGCCTTATATTATTCATAATTTTTTAACTTAATTTGATTTGTTTATATAAGTTAACACTAAGTTATATGAAGATAATATACTAGTATATAAATATATAACATTTGGTTTTACTAAAATGTGTATTAAAATATTTTTTTAATGTAATAATTTAAATTTTAAAATATATATAAATGTCACAGTTCACATATTTAATTTATTATTGTATGACAAATTATGAAAAACGGCTTAGTAAAATAATAAAATCTTATTTTAATAAAAAAAAAGAATCACTTTGCTTGATTTAACATCTATTATCTATCGACAGAACAAATGCAAAAAGATAAGTATAAGATAAAGATACTCTGGATTTATCTAGATTATCTTTTGGATAATTTTATCTAGATAGTCCCAAGACTGGTAATGTTAATGACTATTTAAGAGTATAGTTAGAAAAAAAATAATTATAATTTATAATTATGACTTTTATGACTAACTAATTAATTGACAAAATATATGATTTGGAATATTAAACTACAAGAGTATAATAATTATTTACTTTTTTTAGGTGGATGTACACGGGAAACAAAGCGCGAGCAGCACTAGAAAACGAATGGAAAAATAATGACGCAACACAAGTAACTCCTGATTCAATAAAAACTGGTAAACTCTATGTGTCGGAGAAAAATGGTATTGAAAATCCAGATTTTCATCCTGATGAATGTACAAATGTCGATCAGACAATATATTGATGTATTTTTGATTAACGTTTTTTTTTTTTAAGTATGACCGAAGATTGTTCATATTGTTTGTTTTGATTTATGTTACACGATTTTTATTAATTATATCTGTTTTTTATTATATTTGTTAAAAAAATGTATTTATTAATTTAATTTATTTTTTATTATAATTTTAAAAAAATGTATTTATTAATTTTTATTTTTATTTGTTACATATATTTTGAGGTAACATTGTATACAAACATATATATATATATATATATAATATCCAATAACTACTTAATAATTATAATATTTTATACTGTTAATTTTTTACAGATTAAAGTTTAGATAACTAAATGTAATTTTAATATACAAAATATTACAAGTAATAACTATAATGTTTTACCTACAATAAATAATATGGTTGTTTTAGTCTTATGTTTTGAGAATTCATAATTTAATCCTTTATCAAAAACTCATGTAACTGATGTATTTTAAAAATAATGCAGGTATACTTGTAAGACAATTGTGACATAAAACATGGGTTAGAACTTTGTAGTAATTTTTAGTATATAAATTCGCATTTTTGGATTTTTAAATTAATAAAAAGTGTAAAATGACGCATAGTGTATAAAATATGTTTGAAGAATAACTCTTAATTAATCTCAATTTAATGTTTTCACTACAGAACAGTTTTTGTGTTTAATATATTATTTGTGAATAATACCTTTTTTTACATTTCATTTAAAAAAATAACTTTATTTTTTAGCTCTGCAATATATATATTTAAAAATATAATAAATGTAGGCAAGCATGTTTTTTTAAAATTTAAATTATGTTATTATTAGCTTAAAAACTGAAAAAATATTTGAATGCAATAAATAATTATTAAAATATATTGATTTTACAATTTAAGATATGTTAATTCATATCATGAAAATAAATATAAAAATTTAATAATATCTTGTACAAATGATCCTAAATATTTAAAGTTCTCAACTTCACTTTCACATCACCTCTAATTGTCATTATCTAACCTCACCCATTCAACTTCTTGATATTTCCTCCAAAGTCATACTCATTTTTCTAATTCTCAATCCCTTTCCTTAAAAACCTAATCTCTACTCATCCAATTTATTATTAACTTCTTCTAGATTTTCTCCTACCAAACTTATATCGTCAGCAAACATAATTTACAATAATATCTTTTTATAAAAATATAATAATATATTAATATAATATATAATTTTACGTACAATTGTATACATTCAAAATCTAACTGATTGTTTTATTTCTATCCTATCATTACATGAGTAGAATATTTTTTCTAAGAACTCATTGATATAATTTTTCAAAGAGTATTACAATTAATGTTTAAAGTGTATATAATATTCGTGGAAATACATACTATACGATTTGAACGTACACAGTGGAAGTAAAAATTGAAGACACTTTTGTTATTGAGTGTTTATTAAATACAATACTATTGGACTAAGTTTGTAATAACATTTGATTACAATTTTAGAATATTTAAAAAACATACAATTTTGTAGATAAAAAATTTGTATTAACTTCATAGGATTATTATTATTTATTAAAAGTTTACATGACACACGTCAATTTAACATGATTAATATCATGGAAAATAATTTACTCAGTATAAAATTAAAAAATCGTTGCATACTTGTACGTATATATAAATTAATATGCATTTTATTAGTAAATTTTCTAGAAAACTCTACAAATTGGTTTTTTTAAAGTGTATACATCAATGATTAAATTTACCTTACAGATTAGTATAACGTTAATATAATAATTAGACCAATATATTTTTGTAATAAGAGTTAATGTATCATAAATTGTATAATCATTATTTATTAATAATTATAAATAAACATTAAACTGTTGTTTCAGTTCCTAAGCTAATACTAATATAATTTAAACATTTAAAAAAAAATCTTATGGCATGTATATACCTACCTAATAGTTAGTTATATGGTTTTATAATAAACAGAATCTTTAATACAATAATGAACATAAATACCGAAGGAAAGTCAGGAAAAGTCATAAAAAATAAATTTATGATATAAAATTTAAAAAAAGAGAAAAAAATGAAAATAAATCACCTTGACATAGATAATATACCTAGTATTTATCCCTCATCATTATGTTAGTTTTATTATTTATTTAAATTTTGAAAAGTTAGTTAATAAAATGTCAAAAACACAATCGAAAAAAGATCTATAATAATTATCAAATTTCTTAATCAGTCGAATAGATTTATTTGAAAACCAAAATATTTAATTAAATTCTGTTTATGTATTCTGATAGAATGTTAGGTGAGTATTGTCATTTACATACAATTTAAATAAATTTTTAATATTAAACATTAAAAATATTTCTTATATATATATGTATATATAAATGTGTGTGTGCATGCATGTGTGTGTGTAGGTGTATGAATGTGTGTGTTGTTTTTTACGGTATACCTCTCTAATGTATTTAAAATATTCGTTAATGATTTTTCGCTAACACTTTGAATAAATGTTCTAACACGCTGAAATGTCTAGATATAATGCTCCGAAAGAATTATTTTTGTTCGCATCATAGAGCTCGTAATTTAAATAATATATAATGTTTTACATACTAGTATACGATATTATAAAGTGGTTTATTCGTATTACTGAAAAGTAAATAATAATAATAAAAAAAAAAAAAAAAAAAAAAATAAATAAAAATAAAGGTATGTACGATTTTTTATAAAATATATTTTGTATTTTAGCAAAAAACTATTTTATAGTCAAATGTATAATAGTATATAATTATATTATATTATGTAATACAGTATTAAGTTGTATGTAGTTATAGGCGTTACAGCCATCGGAGATAATAACCACCACATATATTACAGAGGTGGCCGGCTCACTATTTTTGTGGACTCTTATGAGTTCTGACGTACCGCAGTAACAAATTGCATCTGCACGATGTTTCATTTGAAAAATCTAAATAAAATAAGCCGTTTTACTAAGAAACCTTAATAAAATATAAAATACAAACATTTATTCAATGCTTCATGGTTTCACATGTTTCTCAATTATTAAAATAGACAAATGCTCATTTAAGAAATAATTTAACTACCGAAGACTACGTAGCTGAATACTTAACAAGTGAGTACTCATTTTTATGTTTTGGATATCTAAATGAATTCTATAGAGGATGTTACTTTTTTTTATTTAAAACATTAAGTTTTAAAATATCCAAATCGTTTTTTTACAATTAAATAACATAATATAATATATTTGTATTTTATTAAATTTTTTTAATTATTATTATCTACTATTATGTTTTTAACTATATAAAATCTATTAGAATAGTTAAAACATAATACACTCTAGTCGCGATAACTCGAACCTCGATAACTTGAAAAACTTGACAACTCGAATTGTGTTTTATTCCTCTAAAAAATTCTTCCTCTATAAATTAGTTAGATATCTCAAATAATACATATCTCGAGGTGAATTTTTATCCCCCTTCAACTTCGAGTTATCGCGACTCGACTATAGTAAATAATTTAACTAAATACGGTAATAATAGTAAGGTAAGTAATAGTAATAATAGTGATAATAAGTAATAATAATATTAAGGTGGAAAATATTTTCTGTATATTCACAGTTTTTGGCTGAAGTGTATATTATTATACAAATAAATCCTGGAATACATATTCAATTATTGTTAAAACACAATACACTTGCTTAAATCGACAGTATATTATTTGTGATTAAAATTAAGATATCACCATAATTACCAATATTATACATGATGCTTTATTTTTTCGCAGTGCACATTGCTATTTTATTTTTTTAAATTATTGAAATATTGCATTTTTGACAAATTTCAAACATTCATTAAATGTAAGAACCACAGAAATATTTGAAATTATATTCTTTATTCATCGTTAAAAACTAATAACTTTCTCACTAAGTTTATAATCTAAAAATCAAATTCTTCAATTTGTGTATACTTTAATAACCAGTAAGGTTCGCTGAATATTAAAATACAGATGTCAATCTTAGTGTAATTAAAATAGTATTCTGATTTTTTTTGAATTCCAACAGTTACCAATTTACATTCTATAATATCAGATAATATAACTCACATGATAGTAAAAAAAAAAAAGTATGTTTGTATATAACGGCAAAGACATAAATTGAGAAATTAATTTAAATATTAATATGGTATTATAATGTTAATGACATTTACAATCAAATTATATGCTATACAATATTCACTAGGAAGCAATGTTTATGTCCATTATTTCCATTCAATGATACATTTAGAAATATTTCCTCGGCAATGATTATTAATTCCTGTCTATTTTAGACATAATTGATGAAAATATTAAACCAATTATTTCTTTGTGAATTAGAAACTCCCTTGCATAGTAAAATTAATTTTATAAATTAAAATAAATTACCGTTCATAAGGCTACTGGCTATGGAATCACGGGGTCACAAGGATATACTAGATTTATTTGTAAAATAGGAAGCATAACTAATAGATATACTTTTAAAAAATTAATATTTTATACAATTTAAAGTTACTATATTACAAAGCAATTCACGACACAATAAATTTTGAAAATTAGTAATTATATATAATTTATCTTATATTTGACGATATCTTCCATTAGTGTTAAGAATTTATAATATTGGCTTGGTATTTACGTTAGTACCTAATTTACACCATTAATAATTCAGCAAAATATTACAAAAAAAAAAAATGAATATTTACACAGCTATGATATTGTTTGTATATATTCTTTATGGTTGTTTTTATTTAAATGTCTAGATTTTACAGATAACAAGTTGAAAATACCTTGTTCCTCGTTATTACTATTATAAATCAGTTTGAATGAGTTAGTAATTTATAATTGAGACCACAAATACATTGATATCCAAATAATGTTTAAAGGGAGCTGAATAAAACGCTTTAGGGAGATGAAGTGTATAGAATGCTATTTCTAATACACTCGGTGTGGCAACTATTATCTAACTATCGTAGTAGGATGGACACCTAAGTGGTTTTTATTCGTTGTTTATTTATTTAAACAAATACAAAACCAGTTTATTGTATTTATTCAATAATTCTTTAATATTTTAAAGACTAAATTAATTTAGTTACATTTCAGCCAAAACTAACATCAAATCGTTTCAATGCCTTCTATTTAAGGTGAACTAACTATGCACTTGGATGAAAATAATATCTAATTAATCTGGTCTCCTATTTAATTTATTAAGTACAATAAAATATGCTATTGCATCAACATGTTTAATATTTACACATGATCGATTCTTAAGCCTGTAATTAATCTTTACTTCATAATAATGATAATCGACCAGGAACTGGAATGAAACCGAAAAAAACAGGTTTTAGAATTTCAAAATTCTATAAGTATTGAAAATCAGAAACCAAATGAAACATTTTCAATATAGCAAAACTTGAACCCGATATTTTTAATTTTTTAATAAAAAAATACTGGTACTCGTATGTAACAATTCGGGATATTATAATTTGTTACCCAGCTTATCCAACTCAGAAATATTTGTAATATTACACTATAATGAATTACCATAAATAGCTATTCTACCTTCAAAATGTTAGTGTTGATTTAAATTTTATTTTGATACTTATTGACTATACATATATATATGTTTGAAGAATCGATCTGATACCATTACTGCTAAATGAGTTATCAAAAATTTAATTTTTTTTAATGATTTTTACTGGAACCTAAATCCATATCTTAATTCCTTATAAAAACCATACATTTTTTAAATGTTAATAGGGAGTTGAAACCGAACCGGAGTCTAAACTAAATCAATAAAAAATTGTTTTCATCTTAATAATTCATTAAATCTCATATTTTAACAAAAAATAGCTTATATTACATTTATTATTTACTATTATGCTATTCAAACAAAAAATTATTTTGTTATACGATGCAGAAAAATATGTGGTGTGTTATATACCATATATAGACATATATTTAACCCGTGATGGGTCATAAATCATAGGTCGTTTTAGATTCATCAACGATTTATAGAGGTTTTTATAATGTCCGTTTTCTTCGACCGTCAGAATCAATACATAGAACAGCGCGCGTTGATTGTCATACGGCTGTTGGATCTGCCGCTTAATTTCAAACGTATACAAACGTAGGTTTAATTGCAATGTGGTATAATACATCAATAAAATAATTTATAATTTCAATATCCATTTTGATCGATTTGGATGCATCGGTTTTCACTTGAACAAGGTAAAATAAAATTTTTATTTCGTCTATGAACATTTTAAGCTTATCACTTTATTTTCCGTAGATATATTTTTAACAATTTAGATTCATAACAATTTTTTATTTTAAATCGTATTTTAAAACATTTTTCACATTAATATAATTGTATTTTTAGCTTATTAAAAATAATTTATTAGTTACAGTTATTTATTTTGGCAAAGTCATTATTCGTTATATATTATTATGATATATATTACGTGTACATTTTTACGAATGATTTTTTTACACCCGATTTTTAAATTATTTTTTTTAGGTTGTAATTATTTGCTAATTTCATACAATAATAATACTTAAGATTAGAAGGTTTATTTTTAACATTTAATATATTTTATTTATATTATTAGAATTGTTGAATAATGTTTCGTCATTATTTGTGGAGTAACTATTGACTGAAAAATAATTTGTAAAATACAAAATATTATTATAACATTTATCATGAAACTTAATACATACAGCAATAATTAATGAATCGAATGAATTGCTCCAATGATTTATTTCGGCTTACGAGTACGAAACGAACATAATCTAATCGATGTAAGTGTAAGTGTAAAAGGGTCATCGAAACAGTAGATAATTTTGGAAAGTAAAAATATTAACAACGTAATATTAATTAATTGATTTTATTATTATTTATTGATGTATATCTTACTAATGTCTGAATCGGGTTTGGTAAATTAAGTCCCATTTTATTTATTTTAGAAAAACTGAGTCCCACCTAAAAAAAAAAAGGTTAATTGAGTCCCTCATATAAAAATGAAATCGGTAAATCGAGTCTCTTGTATAAAAATTAAAGTGGTAATTTGAAATATAGTTGAAATGCTGTTTTTTTTTTAAATAACTTTTAATTATATCAACACAATTGTATACTACGTACATTAAACTTACATTTATCAGTTATCACATATCACATCCAGCGTTATTGTAGATAGTTAGGTACTTATAAAAATGTAGCGTAATAATACGGAGCGAAATGTAATAATATTTAACGATGTAACGATAAGATACACTTACCTATTGTACTCGGTGGATTTATAACTATATCAACGATTATATTTATAATTTAAATAAATTTAAATAAATTTAATACATTAAATATTTTAGACGGGACTTAATTTGTCGCTTTAACTGTTATACGAGGGACTCAGTTTACCTATTTCGAAAAAAGATAAATTCGTTTGGGACTCGATTTACTTATGCCCGTCTGAATAGCACTAAGAGCACACTCATTATTTTTTTTTTTTTATCGTGTTACATCAATCCATTAAAATTAATGAGTTCAAAAACGTACAAAAGTTAACGATAAGTGAAAAACGCGAATTTCATTGTGTTCGATTAAACGTTATAGTTTTCGATTAGACGGAAGCTTCGTACACCCACGAGAAGGGATTAAATCGATGATCGATAATATATGATATAAAATGATTGCAGAATTTTGAACGTACATCGGTTGATCGATCAAAGCGATGGGTTCGATTTGACACCGAAGAAGTATTATGTAACGCATTTGAATCTATGAAAATATGTGTTGAGGTAGATATTGTATGATTGTCCGTGGTCCGGTTTGGTGTGTGTGCTGAGTGCGGCGTAAGAGTAGATACATTTTGCGAGTCGTTGGCCTTGGCTAAATGCAGATGTAAGTGTGTTATCCTTTGAAAAATTATTTATGTAAGGTTTTTATCGCAGTATTACGTAGAATACATGAGCAACAATTACGTGTGGTCACAATCCTAGCAACATTAACGCTAAAACCGGTTCTTAGCACTGTAGCTCTTTAACTGTAATAATATGCATGTCGAACAGTTACATTCTTACGAT